CTTTAAGGTCACTTCCAACCCAAACCATTTTTAGTGATTCTATAATTTCAAGTGCCATTTTCAACCTAAAAAGTAGCATCTGTTTTCACTGCATAGTTAGGATTGGATGTAAAATGGCCTTTTTATCCATAGCAGTTATCATTACTATTTAATAAATAAATTAGCGTGGCATGTTTTCTGTAACAAGAAAGCAGCTAATTTTGCTATTTAGCTGAACAACTAAGTGGCAGCTAGCTGTGCCCTCCCTCTACGTACTACTGTTAGGCAAGCACTCACCATGACTCCAACATTACCAATGCACTCAAATGAGTAGTCAACACCACCATCGGTCATCTCCACCAGCACCTCTTGCATGGGCTTCTTGAAGTCTTCAGGGCTAATGCACTCAGTAGCTCCAAACTCTTTGGCTTTGGCATACTTATCCTTGTTAAGGTCGATGCCAATGATCCGGGATGCTCCAGCTATTTTGCAGCCCATAATAACGGCCAGCCCAACTCCTCCTAAACCAAAGACGGCACACGTAGAACCAGCTTCTACCTAGAAATAAGAAAAAAGCCACTAGAAACACTCAGAAAATTCATCCTTCCACATGAGCGGGAACACGCGTTAACAAGTCTGTAATGAAAGAAACATGAAAGCAAATATGAGACTTCATCACTTAGATAAGGGAAACTACACAGAAATGTTATCCAAAAGCTCTTTAGGTACAAAGCTTTTCTTTTTGCCCAAAGACTTGACTCCTACAACCTGCCTAAGACTCATGCACACTCACCTACGAGCTCTGCCTCACCCTAAGTAAGCTTCAGACTATCAGACCTGCAACAAGATTAAGATGAATTGGAAGAGTAAATTATATATAGCTGGTATCAAAAAGGATGCAGAATCTTCTAGCTGGGTTTCCTCTAAAGGGTGTCAGGTTCTTCTAACCTGATCTGGCCTTTATGGAGAAGGTAGAAATTCTTAGCTAAACTTCAACTTAGCTAAATGTTGAAGAGAAGAAGAAAGAGAATTTGGTACATCTTGTTTGCAGTCCTGATCTAGTCCCTCAGCTATCTTTGGCTCGGACATAGTTACAGAGAAAAGCCAGAGGCAACCCCGGCCTTTACCTTGGCAGTGTTAACAGCAGCCCCATAGCCAGTGGAGATGCCACAGCCCAGCAGGCACACTTTATCGAGAGGTGCTGCAGCATCTATCTTGGCTACCGAGATATCAGCCACCACAGTGTACTCGGAGAAGGTGCTCGTCCCCATGAAGTGGTAGATCTGCTTTCCTTTGCAAGTGAATCTGCTGGTACCATCGGGCATGAGTCCTTTCCCTTGAGTAATTCTTAAGACAAAGACAGGAAAGTACAATCGGCATTTTAAGCAGTAAATACTCTCAGCAGACAGTATCTATTAAGTAGCACAGAGATGCAGTTGCATACTTGCACTCTTATTTTTTAATCATTCCAATAAACCCAGGAGTTCACAGAAATTAGACTCTAAACTCTTAAAAACCTCATGCTCTTAATTCCTCCATGGAAGCACTGAAAGAAACTGAGTTTATCAACATGTTGACCTTGTTTGTTATCAATTCTAGCTGCCTGTGTCACAGCACCACACCCCCATCTTCACCTCCTTCACTACACCTCCCTTGATTGGCACCAGTCAATTATGTCACTGGGGGCTTTGTTCGGGTTTGGGACGCCTTTTTTTCCCCAGAACGGGAGCTGGAAATTAGCTGGGAAGCAGGTGTCAAGGAAAATAGAACTTCCATATGATTTTGTAACATTTGATAGCCTTGGTGTTCAGTCACAAGAGCTTCACTTTAACACCCTCGCGTGCTTCCCTTAAGTATGGATTAAATACAGTGTCAGAGCATTGATGTTTTCAAAGCTGTGGACACAAGCTATTAGTTTCCACCTTTGCATACATGAAAACAGAGAAACTGATTTATTTAAGAGCAAAAAGGAACAATCATTTTAGGGAAGAATGGAAAATAGTGCATAACCGACTCCCTGAAACACACTTTCCAAGCCACAAAATGACACATCAAGATATTTATTCTCCAAAGATAACTCCTGTCTATTGCTGTTGATAACTAGAACAGGGGTACAT